CATACCCACCATACCATATCCACCATACCATACCATACCAAACCATTTCACACCATACCCACCATACCATACCCTCTATACCATACCCACCATACCATACCCACCATACCATACCATACCAAACCATACCATACCATGCCAAACCATACCATACCCACCATACCATACCAACCATATCATACCCACCATACCATACCATACCACACCATACTATACCACACCAAACCATAACATAACATACCATATTCTCACTCTGAAAATGGAATTCTGAGGGCAGAACCTCAATGGCTCAATGTGCAGAACTAACAAGTTTGAGCTCATTTGGGCCTTTTGTGCTCTGAGGCAGGGGGGAGCCCCCACCTCAGTCCTACCCTATGCAGTACAAAGAAGATACGTTAGCAATAAAACTTGCACTAAATTTAGTTCAATGCCTTCTTCGAAATCTTTGCCCACATCCAGACTGTGGATAAGAGTCGATGTCAAAATAAAATGAACCATCAAGCCACCAAAAGACACGGAGGAAATTTAAATTAATATTAAATTAWATTAATAATAAACTAATATTATGAAATGGAAGAAGCCAGTCTGAAAAGCCTACATACCATGTACTGTATGTCCAGCCCTATGACATTCTGGGAAAGACAAAACTATGGAGATGGTTAAAAAATGATTGGAGGCTGACAGGAGTGAGTGGGGAAGGAGGATGAGTGTGTGGCACACAGGAGATTTAGGTCAGTGGGATGACTATGTATGACATGAAATGGTGCATACATGCCACTTCCATTGTCCAAACTTTTAGCATGTACAACATCCAGAGTGAACTCTAGTGTAAGCTATGGATGCCGGGTGGCAAAGATGTGTCTGTAGAGGTCCATGTCCATCAGTCGTAACAGACACTCCAGTTGGATCTTTATTGCAGAAGAGCCCGTGTAGGGAGGCAGGTACAGGGAAACGACTTCCTGTTCAGTTTTGCTATGAACCTAATGCTTTTTAAAAATAAAGTCTGTTTGAAATTAAAAACAAACTAAAAAGATACCTATGCCCCCCAGGGCAGAACTGCAGACAGGGTTCAGCAGTGGGGAGGGGCTGAGCRGGTCCAGGGGAGCTGGCAATGCTCCGTTCTTGGTCTGACTGGTACACAAAGGCTGTACCGGGTGAAAGTTCACCCTGCTATCCAGGATTTATGCACTTTTATTTGAAGGTAGGTAAATGAAAGGGTTTGTTTAAAAAAATTCATCTGTAGTTATCTGGCCAGCGATTTTAAACTAGTAATAGGAGCTGAGACACCGAGGAGCCTTGGAGGGTTTACAGAGCAAGGGGGGGCACTGAACCCCTGTGCAGCCAACCGCACTCACACAAGAACACAGGAAGTCAGAGTGACAGCCGGAATCTCTCTCCCAAGGACCAGCCATGGTCCCACACACTCATGGTCCTACAAGGTTCCTTCCTTCACCGTCCTCTGTTTATCAGGGAAGACGTTTACAACTACCCATTGACGTGGAGGACACAAGGGACCAGGGTGAAGCCATTTGCGAAGGTGAGTGCGGGGAACCTGTATAGCAAAGGCTAAAAAGTAAGTGTAGGTTGGGAAAATCAAATGGCCCACGTGATAGGCAGAGAAATGGCTCCAAAGATGTCCACCTCTCTTAACCCCCAGGACCTGGATTAGGTTACCTTACATTGTACAGGGGACTCTGTAGGTATGATTAAGCCAAGGATCCTGAGAGGGAGAGACTACCCTGGATTATCTCAGAGGGTCCAAGGTAATCACAAGGGTTCTCAAAATGAAGGAAGCACAAGGGTCAAAAAAAAAAAAAAAAAAAAAGGATACGTTACAGGGAATCAGGTGTGACACAGCCTGGAGCCAAGAGGGTAGGCGGAAAAGGCGAGGGAAGAGATTTCCTGGAGCCTCTGAATGAAGCAGCCTGGCCAACACCTTCATTTTACACTTCTGACCTCATATAGTACCATTAAACT